ATATATATACCAGTTGGGAACACTTAGTCCACCTCTTTCCTTTCTGTCCTGAAGTACCTTCCATTTTATTCTAGGTTTTTTGTGTTGCCAAATGAATTGTCTCGTGATTTTGTTCAAATCTTCAAAGAAGTTCTGTTTTTTTACCACAGGTATGTTTTGTGCCAAGTATAGAAATCTAGGCAATACATTCATCTTGATCACCGCAATTCTGCCCATAAGGGATAGTTGGATGGCGTTCCATTTCTGCAAGTCTGATCTGATTACTTGCAGTAATTTCGTGTAGTTCCCTTCAATCAAAGAATTACATTTATTTGTCAGGTTGATTCCTAAATATTTTACTTTTTGACTATTTCCATCTTGGTTACCTCTTTGATTTTTTCTATCGTATTTGGGAAACAATTCTTTACTATGCTGTTGGATTTTTTATAATTAATTTTTAGTCCTGCAACCTGTCCATAGTTTTGGAATCTTGGGGGTTCCCTACTATAAATACTAAATCGTCGGCAAAAGCCTGCAGCTTAAATTCCTCCCCTTTCACCTTCAAGCCTTCTATATGTTTATTTTTTCTTATGTCTTCATTTAGTGATTCAATTGCATAAACAAAAAGTAAGGGGGACAACGGACATCCTTGCCTGGTTCCTTTCTGAATCTCTATCATTTCTGTCAGGTCTCCATTTATTATTACTTTTGCGTATTGTTTTCTGTATATAGCCTGAATCGTATTATAGAATTCTTGGCCAGGATCTGCCGCTTCTAATTTTTGTAGTAGAAAGTCCCATGACAGGTTGTCAAACGCCTTTTCCGCGTCCAGGAACATTAGCATTAATTCTTTTTCAGGATGTTCTTCGTAGTATTCTAATACATCCATAATGATTCTTATATTATTTCTCATTTGCCTTTTGGGTAGAAATCCGGTTTGGTCTTGGTGGATCATCTGTGTCAAAACTTTTTTTAGTCTTCCAGCTAGTATTGATGTAAAAATTTTGTAGTCGACGTTGAGGAGTCTGTAGTTTTTAATATCGGTCTTATCTGTATTTGGTTTTGGGATTAATGATATTAAAGCATGATTCCAGGAATCAGGTATCTTCATGTTTTTACCTACTCTTTGGCAAAGTTCTTTAAGTGGTGTCCATAACTGTTCTTCAAAAGTTTGGTAAAATTCTGCCGGTATTCCGTCAGGACCTGGAGTTTTTTTCCTTTTTTGTCTTCTAATTGCCTCCATAATTTCATTTAGGGTTATTGGATCATTCAGTATTTTTTTCTGTTGAATGTTACATTTTTGAGTTCTGTATTTAAGGTATTCTGAAATTTCACTTCTACTATCTCGGGCCTGTTGATATAATTTCATATAGAATTTTTCCACTATCTTTTTTAGGTCTTGTGTGTCAAACTTTTCTTCGTTATTATCGTTTCTTAGTTTAATAATGGTGCGCTTCTCTCTTTCTTTATTTTATAGGCTAACCATCTGTTGGGTTTGTTTAAGTTTTCAAAGTAGTATTGTTTGGTGTATTCTATTCTCTTTTCTATTTCGTAATTTAACAAGTTGTTTAAGTTATGATGTAAGAGGTTAAGTTTGATCTTTGCACTTCCTGCATCATAATTTTGTTGTGGGGTGAGGGGAGGGGCAAGCGTTTGGCATATACTCAGAAACTGTTGAAGATGGATTGAGCCATGGTACAAATTAAGCCTATCTGAGGTGGTTTTGATCCTGGTGTGCCTCCATAAGGTGAACCCGTAAGGTAGTTAGGACTGCCACTACCCCATCCCTCAGAGTAGCACTCCTGCATAGGTCTCCCTGCTAGACTTCTAGCATGGATGACACCAGAAATCAACCAGATAGGGAGTGTTGTATCCAATGTTCCCTCTAAGCTGTGGAGTCTTGTGAACAAAAATTCTACTGTGTGAGCTACTGGCATTAAAGTTGTGAGCGAGCCATTTAGCTACTGCATAAGTTAGTTTGCTCTGGAGCCCTCCTTCCTGAGCTGAGACAAAAATGTGTGAGCCAGAGGCTAAAAAACTGTGAGCTAGCTCACACTAACTCAGCTTAGAGGGAACACTGGTTGTATTGTTGTTTAGCAGACTGCACCTGCTTCATCTAGTACTTTCCCCCCCCTGTGCTTCAGGGAGTTGTGTTGAATGGGATTTGAGAGTTTGTTCTTGTGTCATGATTTCTGTATTCTAATACTTTAAAAAGGTTTTATATTACAGGTGCGTCAGTACAAAAGAGAAGGCCAAATGACAGACAAAGGAGAGAGGTGAGAAGTTAAAGATGCATGTTTGAGTCCAGTGGCAATTTTAAAACCAACAAAGTTTAATTCTAGGTATAAGCTTTTGTGTGCATGCACATGGAAGCTGATACCCAGAATTAAACTGGGTAAATCAATGCAAAGGGTTTGACAAGTTGCTGCCAGGCAGGCTATGGTCCTAGCTTTGATGTTCAATGTTAGGAATGTTCAGCACTGCGATACTCTAGTTACCTATGACATGTCAAGAAAACAAAGGTAGTCTTTGAATAATTCGAATAAAAAGGCTTTTTATTGTTATTGAAAAGAAGGGTGATGACCAAGCCATATGAGGACATGGAGACCAAGCCCTATGAGGAAAAGCTGAGGGACTTGGGAATGTTCATTCTGGAGAAGAGGAGGTTGAAGGGAGACATGATTGCTCTCTTTAAGTATACGAAAGAGCTGTCTCTTAGAGGAGGGCAGGGAACTGTTCCTGTTGGCAGCAGAGGACAGGACGTGCAATAATGGATTTAAATTAACAGCGGGAAGATACCAGCTGGATATGAGGAAAAACTTTTTTACAGTAAGAGTTGTGCAACAATGGAATCAGGTGCCTCGGAGGTGGTGAGCTCCCTCTCCCTGGGAGTCTTTAAGCAGCGGCTGGACAAACACTTGACAGGGATGCTCTGGGCCCCTTCCAACTCTGTGATTCTATGTATGAATTTTTGTTTTTGAGAGGAAGTTGAGAGATAGTAATTGGTCCAACTTTCTGGCAGAGCAGGAATTTGAACCTATCAAATTCCAAGACCTGCTTCCACTGGAGGATTGCATCAGCCAGAATTCTAATGGGTGGCTTTAGTCTGGTTTATGTTTGAGGTTCCTGAGAATCCATCTCAGAGGACTGAGTTTTGCAAGTAGCATTCCTCTGTGTGTTGAATATACAGATCACCATCAAACCTTGTTTTCTTCCTCTGCAACTTTTGTTAGTCTGGAACTCCCAGGACTGAGAAGATGGAGGTTGATCAGGACTGGACCAGCGTGTACCCAGCAGCAGCTGCTTTTAAACCTTCCTCAGTGCCCCTCCCCATTCGGATGGGCTACCCAGTGAAAAGGGGAGTACCTCCGGCGAAAGAAGGCAACTTGGAACTTATAAAGGTAAGACTAAATATTGGTCTCTCAAAATGACATTGTTGCAGATGTGTGGTGTTCATTTCATTCAGGTTGATGTAGTGGTTAGGAGCATGGATTCTAATCTGGGAAAACCAAGTTCGATTCCCCACTCCTCCATATGCAGCTGCTGGGTGACCTTGGGTCAGCCAAAGTTCTCTCAGAGCTGTTCTTGAGCAGTTCTCAGAAAGCTCTCTCAGCGCCACCTACCTCACAGGGTGTCTGTAGTGGGGAGGGGAAGGGAGGGAGATTATAAACTGCTCTGAGATTCCGAGTGAAGGGCAGGGTATAAATCCAATCTCTTCTTCACTTTTGTACACCACATTGATATTTATAGGTCCCCAAGGCAGCTGCTGTCTATAAAGTATATTCAATTCAAAATTAAAACTCCTGTTGGTTAGAACTTCTTTGGCTCCCTGCTTTGCTGAGGGACTGGTGGTAATAAACAGTAGTTGCACAAGTGGAAGGAACATTTGCAGCTAACAGAAACTAGAGTGCAGTTATTCAAAGCAATCTTCTCCATCTGACTCCTCAAGACACATTCTGTGGAATTTGCTGAGAAAACCACTTGCATTCATTGTGATTTGGATTCTGCTTTATTGTCAGTGCAAATTTGGGATATGCTCAGAGACGAGTCTAATACACTGTGCTAGGATGAATTTCCATTAGTGTGGCCTGAGGACATGGAAGAGGTACTAGGAGATGAATTGTCCACCCCCAGTATGGTTGACCTCTGTCGATGTTGGGGAGAGAGGGATGATTTATTCAGCCTGAAGGGTAAATTAATATTTCATTGAAGGAGAGGGCAGTTCTATCTCTCTTTAAAGGATGCCATAAGATTACCCTAAATGTGGCAAAATTTGCTAGACAAGCTATAAGACTCTGGAAGCAATTTGTAGAGGGAAGCATCTAATTGGCTTATCGCTAGAACTCAGTCCTGATTTTTATTTTAGATGTCTTAATCTGAATGTGTATTTTACTGACATTGTGTGTGTTATTCGATTGGTCTCTGACGGTATTAAACTCTTGTCGTTGTTGCCATGAGATCACATGAGAAAGTCCTCTCTGAACCAGAGTGGTTTTGGCAACTACCAGCTAGCTAGTAACCCATTTTGTGGCAAGATGTTCCCAAGTATGTTGGCCCATCAACCTGATAACATTCCTGGATGACCCTGAATATCTTCTCAGTTTTGGTTCCAACCTGGTTTTGATACTAAAACTGCCTTTGCTGCACTGGTGGACATTGTGTGCTTGGAGAGAGATGGAACAATGTGACTGTTGATTCTCCTGAACCTCTCACTGCCTTTTGCAATGGTAGCCTCTAGACCAGGGGTGTCAAACATGTGGCCTGGGGGCTGAATCAGGCCCCTGGAGGGCTTCTGTCACAGTGGAACTGGCTGTCCTCTTCTTTTTCTGCTGCTGCTGCGTCATCATAGGTTTGCAGCTTACAGATACACACCTGAACAGCATACTCAAGATTGCAATAGCACAGACATTTTGATGTAATAATTCAGAGCTAGAGGTGTCCGTTATCACTGTTAAAAAACAAAATATTGCAAAAGTGCTAATGTTTTAAGCATGTTTTTAAGTAAAAAAAACCTTTGTATTTGTATCCTTTATAAAGTTTATATCACCGCAACCTGGCATTACATTTTATGACCCACATGGCCAGGCCCAACAAGGTCTCATTTATGTCAAATCCAGCCCTCATAACAAATGACTTCGAAACCCCTGCTCTAGACTATCTGGAATGGGATAGTGACTCTGCACTTTAGTGGTTCCCCGTCTACCTGGTAGATTGGTTCCAGGAGATGGCTTGAGAGAGACTGCTCCCTGTTCGCCCTCCATTTGTGCTGTCTACTATGCCAATGGTCCCCAAATGTCTTGAGCTTGCAAGCATATTTGGTATCATGACACAGCGTGGTGGGTGCAGCCACAGAATCACTGCTATAGCTTACCTTTACTCACACAGTGAGGATTCATGTACTGTGGTGGTAGCTGCTGCCAAAGCCACATTTTAAAAAATCCGCACAGCCCATCAAGTCTCCAGTGGCTAATCAGCAGTGTTGCTGGGCTCAAGCCCCAACTGGCCCCACCCACTTTCTAAAACATTTTGCAGGCAGCGTGGTGATGATGGGCACACCATCCTGGGACTCCCTGTTCTATGCTATTTAGCATCTATATGAAACCCCTGGAAGAAACTTTCTAGGAATTTGGGGTCAGAAGCCATGAGGTCAGTCTTAAAGAAGCCTTCTGTGTATCAGAATGGTTTTGGCAACTACTAGCTAGCTGCCTACAACCCCTTTTGAAGCAAGGTGTTCCCGAGAGTGTTGGCTTTTAACTTCACATGTTCCTGGATGAAGCTGATTATCTTTTTAGTCCTGTTTCTCCTTTTCATCAGACCTAGTTGAGACCATGGGTGAATAGGTGTGTGATGTGCTGAGTGTGTGTGTGTTAAGTGCCATCAAGTCTCTTCTGAATGGGGACTAATAAACTGAAGCTCAATCCAGATAAGACTGAAATATTATTGGTTGGTGATGTAGTTGAATTGGAACTCAACCTGTTGTGGAGGGGTCTTTATTAGACCCAGAGCCAGCCTTGTAGGTGGGCATCCAAGTATCATGTGTGGCACAAAACACCTTTAAGTGGCTTCAGCTGCAGTTGTTCCTTTCAGATCACAGTTATTCATAATTTAGTATCACCCAGCATAAGCTGCTGTAATATATAGGTCTGCTTGCGAGCGTTGTTTGGAAACTTGGACCAGTTTGCTGCAAGGCTGTGAACTTCTACAAACAAAAAGAGAGAAAATGTTTTCCTAGTACTTAAAACAAAAACTTCATTGGCTGTGTTTGTTTCAGGGCACAATTCATAGCTCTGGTATTGCTCTATAAAGCCTTAAATGTTCTGGGATTTAGGTTCTGAATGACACCAGTCCTTGAGTCATTCATAAAAATCTGCCCAGTTCTTAAAGCCTTCAGAGACCCTGCTCTGAGACTTCCACTTTCAAGTGTGAAGTGGTTGAATCTTCTCACTAGTACACCTTGCATGTGGAACTCCTGTCATAACCACTAAATTGGCATTTAATTCGATGGCATTTAGGTGAGATTTGTTTGCCTGAACATTTAATAGCATTACGAGTGGCTGACTAAATATTGCTGCAGTTTTTAATACATGTTGATTTTATCTGTCTTTTTTTAAAGAAATCTTGTTTATTTGGTAGCCAGATCTTTTTAATTGATGTTTGTGTTTTAACCTAGCAGCATAGAACTATCCTAAATTCTGTCCTCTGGCATCATTCAGATATTAGTCTATATATAATTCTTTCAGATCCCCAATTTCTTGCATCTAACACCGGTTGCCATCAGGAAACACTGTGCTGCTCTTAAAGGTGAGTTTCATATTTTGTGTTCAGTTTTGGTGCAAAATAAAGATGTGTCCATAAAGAGAAACCTGAAATTAATGAATCTGCATTTTTTTACTTCTACCAAAGGTGCCCAGTGAATCAAAAGAATGTATAAGCAGTTAATAATTTTGCAGCTATTAGAAGCCTAATGTGGACAGGTTAAGAAGTATCTATACAGGTTAACTGATGGGTTTTTGTAAGGTTGCTGGTGGCTATTTCAATTGTTCATTGTTTTAAACGTTCTGTGCTATGGTTTTTAATCTGGCTCCCAGTTGCCTGTGAGAACAGGTGGGTTTATGGATTGTTAAAGCAAATGAAGAAATGTAAGTTGTGTCTAGGAATGGGGAATACGGGCCTGACTTCATGTGTAGGAGTCAACAGTTCTGTGACCCAGTCCAGGATTGTTTGTGAACAATGCAGTTACGTGTATTTTGTTTGTGGTACCTGACTGGGAAGGAGCATGTCAGTAACAGAGACAGATGCATGCGATTGGACTTGCCTATGCTGTGTCCACATGCAGAAGCACGATTGTGCTACAGCAGCTTTATGTGGAGGTAGTATGGAACTCATGCCTATATTCAGGACACTACCTGTTTTGAGGCTTTGTACCCAATGTTAAGATTGAGAGACAGAACTGGGATTTTGTTAATGTACCTGTTAGTGTAGACAGCACCTCACTGCTTAACAGTCTCCCTTCCTGAGCTGACAGAGGTGGTCTTGGGGTTGGTGTTGAGAACCCCTGTGCTAGTTGTCCTGGGGGACTTCAACCCTCGTACTGAGGTGGACTTGTCAGGAGTGGCTCTGGATTTCATGGCCTCCTTGGCAACCATGGGCCTGTCTCAGGTAATAACTGCTCTGGCACATTATGCAGGTCACACTCCTGCTCTGGTGTTTTGTTCTGGGCAGAAGGAACATGATCTAATTGTGGAGGAATTGAGGACTGTTCCTTTGTCATGGATAGATTGCTGTTTGGTAGGGTTCGGACTTACTGGGAGACCGACTCTGCAGGGATGGGGGAATATATTAAAATAATCCACCCCGAAAGCCTGATGCATTCTAATGGCTCTAGGGAACTTCCTGTTGATATGGTTGGTGCTCCTCTCGTGGCCAGGTTGACCTCTGGAATGAGGAAAGGACCCAGGCAGTTAACATGATTTCTCCCTGTACCTTCTCACTAGAGCACAGGTAGCCCCTTGGTCTACTGAAGGGCTGTGGGTGATGAAAAGACAAGGGAGATGGCTAAAGAGACAGTGGAGGAAGACTTGGGGCAAATCTGGTAAGACATGGGCAAAAGCTCATTCCATGGCAGTGACGGCAGCAAAGAAACAACGCTTTCCTGCCATCATTGCGTCTGCACAGTGAGGTCAGGTGAGGTGTTCCAGGTGGTCAGAGGCCTGTGGGATCTGGCCCACAGAAGCAAGTACGCTTAGGCACCAAATCTCCAGAACTCTCTCCCCAGGGAGCGTTGTCTGTCCCCTGCTGTTTTGCCCTCTTCCGCCAGCAGTTGAAGATTTCTTTCTTTTGCTTGATATTCCCTCATTCCTGACCAATGTTTTAATTGTTTTTGTGTCTCTCTATGTTATTTAGCCACCGCACAGCTGCGGTGGCTCAAGTGGTTAAGACGCTGAACTGCAGGCTGTGGAAGGTCAGTAGTTCAGCAGTTCGAGACCCGAGTGCCGCATGACGGAGTGAGCCCCCGTCTCTAGTTCCAGCTCCTGCCAACCTAGCAGTTCGAAAGCAAGAAATTGCAAGTAGATAAATAGGTACCACTTCAGTGGGAAGGTAACAGCGTTCCGTGCGCCATGGTGTTTAGTCATGCCGGCCACACGACCACGGAAACGTCTTCGGACAGCGCTGGCTCTTCGGCTTTGTAATGGAGATGAGCATCGCAACCCTAGAGTCGGATTCGACTGGCTTTCGAGCAAACGAACCTTTACCTTTATGTCATTTAGCTCTGTTTTAATTGGGCATGGGGATGTTTTAAATGGTTTTAAAATGTGGTTTTTATTATGTATGTTTTCATTTGTTAGCGGCTGTGGTGACCCTTGTGTGGGCAGGGAGGTGGGATGTAAATTTTGGTAAACGTAATAAAATATTCACAGAAGTGGCTTGGCAAGCTGGCAAAGGTTTGGTGGGCATCTTCTCCTCGCCCCTCCAATCTGGTTAAGCAGTTCTTCAGAATTTTCAAGCCTCCAGAATTTTCAAGCCTCCATAACATAAGAAATGTGAATCACTCTTTGATCAGTGTTCATGCCCCAGATATACAAGGGACAGTGGAAGAGTGGCTTTCAGAATTCTACCCCTGCCACCACCACCCCCAGTGAATCACATGAAGATTTCCTATATGGCTTGGCTTGGTGTAGAATTTGGGTAATTGTGCACTGTTTGTGTTGCCCTAACAAGCTATCATTGAGACCATTCTGGGATACAGGTAAAAGATGTGGAAGAGACGTCATATTCTACAGCCATCAGGAGCATCAGAGGGAATGGTAAAGGCATATGGGGAGAGCTGTAAGGGTCTGTTCATTCACTCACTTGTACTTTTTCCATGTAGTTTTATGTCTCACTTTTAAGTGAGAGCCAGTTTGGTGTAGTGCTTAGGAGCACGGACTCGAATCTGGGAGAACCGGGTTTGATTCCCCACTCCTCCACATGCAGCTGCTGGTGTGACCTTGGGTCAGAGTTGTTCTCTCAAGGGCAGTTCTTGATAGAGCTCTCTCAGACCCACCTACCTCACAGGGTGTCTGTTATGGGGAGGGGAAGGGGAAGGGATTGTAAACTGCCCTGAGACTCCTTCAGGTCATGAAGGGCGGGATATAAATCCAATCTCTTCTTCTTCTCTTCTAAATGTAATTTTTGTCTTTATTTCATGGGAAGGGGGTGAAATTGATATTATTAAACATAATATCAATACAGCTGGCTTGCTGTAACAGTTGCTAACATGAGATTCTGTTGGCTGGCTTGCTGTAACAGTTGCTAACATGTTATGAAATGAAATTTTGACTCTTTAGACTTCTGCACAGAGTGGCCAGCTGCCCTGGATAACGATGAGAAATGTACGCAGCATTTCCCCATAGAAACTGAAACAACAGACTACGTTTCAGCAGGCCCATCTGTTCGTAACCCTAAAGCAAGAGTGGTGACCTTAAGAGTAAGTAAATTGCAGAAGGAGTGTGTATGTGTATCCCCCCCCCAGGTTGGGTTCTTAAAATGAGTTTGATTCTGAAAGTTGTTGCCACTAAAAGGTCATAGATAGAAAACATTTGCCATTGAGAAAGCAACCAGTTCTGTAGTAAGACCTGCCCAATAAGCATCCAATGATTTTTTGCATAAACAGAAGAAGAAGAAGAAGAGGAGGAGGAGGAGGAGGAGGAGGAGGCGGCGGCGGTTATACCCTGCCCTTCACTTGGAGTCTCAGAGCGGCTTACAAACTCCTTTCCCTTCCCCTCCCCACAACAGACACCCTGTGAGGTGAGTGGCTCTGAGAAAACTCTGACACAAACTGCTCTTTCAGGAACAGCTGTGCCAGAGCTTGTGACTGACCGAAGGTCACATCAGCAGCTGCAAGTGGAGGAGTGGGGAATCAAACCCGGTTCTCCCAGATTAGAGTCCGCACCCTTAACCACTACACCAAACAGCAACCACTTTGAGTACCTTTATACTTGAGAAGCGATATAATTTACTTTAAATACGTAAATATCAAGTAGCATTTAAAGCTATTTGCTTTGAGTGCTGTTGCATATACTGCAGTAAAATTGAGTGTAACTGGGTTCCCGTATTCGCACTTACTGGGTGCCTGTTCAAACAGGGCAGCCATTTTGGTAGGGAACATGGAACATGGAACAATGTAGCCTGTGGCCTCAAGGGTTCTGTGCTATTATTTTGGGTTTAATGAGTTTTTGGGTGGTTTATGATTGTTTTAACTTTTATGGAATAGTTTAGTACAGTTCTGTCAGTGTCTTTGGCACTTTTCAGCATAAGCTAAAGGAACCTCCTTGGACCTTTCAAATCTAAATTTTGACTCTGGGGAGAAAATTGAAGGTGATGAGGGATAGGAGACACAGGGTAAGGGACGAGAGAAGTCTGATGCAAACCAAGAATGGCCTTAATTAGCATTTATTTGTAGCATTTACAAAATGCATTTTTTTTAGTGTTCAAAGCACTTTGCATTCCCAGTGATCCTTAAAATAACAGTGGGAGGCAGGTCACATTCATCTCCGTGTCCAGGTTGAAGTGATGTCCTGTCCCTCAAATGGCCAACCCTAGAGACCTATTCCTTTCTGTAGATACAACAGCCCGTTCCTCTCCGTCAGAGTGTTCATCTTCAAAGGCTGCGTGTTGTTAGGTGTCCTGCGTGTTGATTATTTTAAAAATGAAATAGCCAGCCATCTGGCCTCTCCCAGCACTGATCAGATCAGATTTGATTGATAATCCTGTCTTGTGGCGGCATCCTGTTAATTCCCTGACAACCTAATCTGCTGCGAGGAGTGGGGCAGAGAGAGATTTGAAGGTGAAAAGCAGATGGCATTGAGGCTGCTGTTGGCTGGGAACTCTGGTCTGATTCTCACTAAGGTGGTAAACGGCAGGTTTGCATGATGGAATGTTCTTTCAGGACAAAAATAGTTCCCTCTGCCTAGAAACCTAAGTTGGGGAGAAGTCTTCTAGCCTAGATTTTTCCCTGGTACACTCCTTTTGTAGATGAAGAGATCCCCCCCCCCCGTTGCAAAGGAGCAGTCAGTCATGTGGCCTCTCAAAGTGGTACAGTCCAGAGTCTCAGGCACTGATTTACCACTTCAGTGAGTACTAGGCTTAAGGGACTGGCCGAAGGAGATCCACGGTGTGCAATTAGTCTGTTACAGAGTTACTAAATTTAAAAAAATAATGAAGCTGTACAGACCTGTGTTTTGAAGTGATGCTGTCCAGAATTTTACCCATTTCATCCTAAGATTTTACTGCTGTACAGGAGAATCTGATTGTACCTGGACACTACTTTGAGCTTTTGATGTTTCATGCTGTTTAAACCCTTGATTGAAGACAGTTTTTGCAGTCCGCAGCTCCAAGTCTGTTTTGGGTCACAAAATCAGTGTAGCTTGTTTATTCTCTGCTTAGGATGTCTGCCTAACTCTTGGTTTCTATTAAACTTGTTAAATCTTTTTACTTCCAAATTTCTTCCAAAATCTTCCCACCATTATCTTTTTCTCCCTTATATATATTTATTTATTTATTTCATTCAATTTTTATCCTGCCCTCCCCACACGCAGGCTCAGGGCGGCTTACAAGGCACAAAGTGCTATAAAACAGATAAATTAAAACACAAGCTAAAAACATTGACAACTCACAGGATACATGAAGGACTAAAATTGCGCTCTCTCCATTGCATATCAGGAGGAGGTCAGAAGTCAAAAGTCAGAAGGGGGACACCATGAGCCATGATGTTCCAATTACTCATCGGCCCACCCCGGCGGTCCTGCTCTGCAGTTATGCGGTGGTGGTAGTGGCGGCGACGGCCCCTACTCAAAAGCCTGGCGGAAGAGCTCCGTCTTGCAGGCTCTGCGGAACTGTAAAAGGTCCCGCAGAGCCCTGATCTCCTCCGGGAGCTCATTCCACCAGATGGGGACCACCACCGAAAAGGACCTGGCCCTCGTGGTAGCTAGCCTGGCCTCTTTTGGGCCCGGGGTCACTAACCGGTACTGTGACCCCGACCGAAGTGCTCTTTGGGGCCTATATGGGGATGAATCGTGAATCGTGTTGCTTTCCCCAGTATATGAATCGTGTTGCTTTCCCCATTAAGATTCCGTAGTGGCACGGTTCCCAGCTCCTTCTGTTGCTTAAAGAAATGGTAGATGTAGACCCGAGTGCTTCCGTGGCTCATTTGGAGAGGGCTGCCGGACAGTGCATGGTCTCATGCAGTGCAACAGCACAGAATTCCACTTCTGAGAGTTTCAACTTTGATTTTTTTTTAAAAAGTTTCAAGCCCTTGTGGCTTTGAAGATTTACTAAATGCATTGTGGAAGGGACACTAAGCGTTCTTGTGCACAGAGCTCTCTAGTCATCAGCTGAACTTCCGCTCACTTACCCTTGTATGCTCAGCTGCTTTACTTAACCCACCCACCATCTCCTGCTGTCACACATGGTGTTACCTAAAACTGCAGTCTTTCTGGCTTCTGCATCTGAGGAATACTCTTCTTTCTGTCCTGACATCACACAATCCAGCTGTGTCAACAGCTGTGTACACTTCCACGCAATCATTCTTTGGCCCTTTCTGGAAGAAAATGTTGTAACTTCTGCACAGGGTGCTGTAAAGAAGTTGTAACTCCAGGGACCCACTCTGATAGTGCTCTTCATCCTGGCTGTGGGCTATTTGCTGCACGAAGGCGGGGAACTCCACATTCAACAAATCAATAGTTTTCTTTATTTACTAAATCCAAGGACAAATTGGGAGAGAAAACAGGAAAACAAGATAACAGTCCTGTACTCAGTGTAGATAAAAGTCAAAATTACACCGCAGTTGCCACAAGCAATGGCCCAAGCCTTCAAATGAATTCCTCATACAAGGCTCCTGAAGAGGGACAAAACCCAAAAGTCTCTCAGTTCTCCTCCAATTTCCTGCTTTGCTTTCTCTGTCTGACGACTAATGGCTGATAGTAACCACGGCAACATACACCTTCTCCACTAGGGGTGTGCAAAAAAAAATGTGGCCGATTTGGATTCAGCCGAATCAGGCAGAATCGATTTCCGCAGGCAGTAGGACTCCCGCATGTCAGTTTAGTCAGTACCAGCGATTTGGGAGTCTTTTGGCCCATTATATCCTATGGGCCATTAAAGTCAGTGGTGAAAACATAGGGTATATTCTGGGGGCTGGAGGAGAGGGGGTTTGAGGGAGAGGCTCCAAACTCGTAGGGTAGCTGCTGGAGCCTCTCCCCAAGATACCCACCATGTTTCAAGAACATTGGACCAGGGGGTCCAATTCTACAAGTCCCCAAACAGGTTGCCCCCATCCCCTCCATTGTTCTCTATGGTGGGGAAAAAGTTACTTTTTCCCCTCAGTGCTGTTAGTGGCTCCCGGGGGGGGGGGGGGGGT